CACTCTGCTTATGGTGTCTGTTTTCGTCAACAGCTGGGAGAAGTGATGTTACTCTTACCTGAATGTCTACTCACGAAACGCTTCATTTTGATGACGAAGGTATGACACAATTGTTTCACGAAATCGTTTTCTGTCACCGTCTAACGTTAGAGTCCATTGGGCAGTAGCCCATAGCTTGCTTGCCGGTCGAAGTTCGCAATGAGAACAGTTAGTAATCACTAGGTATTGAGATCACTGTACATACGTACGTACAGCTACAACGTCGAACAACGTTGACCAAAATCGACACGCCTACATTTACTTTCTAATTTTGTCGTAGATGGCGCACATCTGGTCTGTGATCCGAAAGAAATCGTCTCATCCTGTCATGAGGGGCCTTGTTAAAACATGAACACACAGCAGTAAAATACAAAACGCGTAATTAAGGGTGATATTTCAGTGGCATTCCATAAACCATGATCTAAGACTTAAATTCATGGCTTGATAGTTTATTCTTATACAGGAGAACAAACAAATTAATACTATTGAGAACTTGAATAAATGTGCACAAGGTTTTATATAAATTAGTTTACCAGTTTTTGGGGCAATCAAAACTGTTGAATATGCAGTATATAATATGCAATTTTGATATTTAATGTTGACTGATCGCTAACGGCAAACATCAATTCATTTGTTCAAAGATTAATTTCGAAATTAGGAAAAACAGTGATGTGACAAGGTCGCGTGAGTTGCGCCCTCCGCGGTGCTCCAAACCCAACACAGGTCTGATGCCGTTCGGCCGGTGAAGGCGCCACTCACGCCTACATGTCAGGCTAATTTAGGGAAGGAGGCTGTAAATAAGTAATACGAAATATCTAAGGTTTCTTCTTGGCTTGATTTCTACAGCGTGGTTTTATTTTATGTTGTTCACAGATCACATATCTTCACAGATTTTAAATGAGCCAAACATTCAGTAAAAAATAGATTTTTACACTTTACAGTTATAGTAAATTCATAATTAAATTTTACATTTTTATGATATATTTGATAATTTGAGTTTAAGAATCAAAATTGGGAATTGCATACAAATAACGACATATAATATGGAAAATGCTCTATGCGCTTACAGATAATAAGATCTTTGTACAAATTACAGAAGAATAAAATAGCTGAATACCTTCACCTTGCCCATTTCTACGTTTTTTTTATTCACATTATCACGAAAATAAAAACAGTGTACGAAAATATCCCTTGCCGACCCCCATTTAATGCTCTAAATCGTCCACCATATAGGTCGAATGTTACAAATATGATTGATGGGAATTCAGATATTCCTTCCTGACAAGCTGGGGTCACACCAATTTGCAGTATTCATGATTTCATTATTTATATTGTTGCCTAAATCCGGTACCTATCACAGGAAGACAGGAAAACATAGCACGCCACCAATATGTTGGTGGCGAAGTAATAAACTTTGTGATGTACTCTCTGACGTAGAGGGCGTTGTGTGTCGCAATGGCTTCGAACAGTAATTGTTAAAAAAAGAAAAAAAAGGGATTTAACGATTAAGAATCTGAAACTCAGACGGTTTTTCATCTTCTTTGGAATGTCTGAAATAAAAACAACTTCACACAAAAGAAGTAGTATTGGCTCATTTTATAACAAAATAATAAGTTACCAGCGTTTCACAGTGCACAATAAATATCTCTCCTCTTTATGTAATTACATCGTGTTGCCTGTGAAATGTGGGTATGGTTTTGAACGAGAGTGTAGACATAATTTTTTTTCATCTAGTGCCCCCACCGTCGATATCCAAGAATCCTAAATAGTAATGTTTTCATTACTATTATGCGTGAGGGCGCAGTAAATAAAACCGACTGCGTGCGCCATCGAAAGAGGCATACGTGTTTTGGGCAAGACAATGCGATTTGAAATCGAACAGATACGGCGTGAGCATACTGTTTAAATTAAAAACATATGTATTATATTATAACAAATCTGTAGTTTTTTATTAAAACATTAATGTTTTAGTATTTTGGGGAAAGTATGCAAGCAGTACTAACAACATTGAAAAAGAAATTGAACTATAGTCTGGAAATCGAACTGGAGAATCGTAAGTAAACATTATGGTATATATGCCATTGGCCTAACTGGACGACCATGACATTACATTATGTAGGGAATAGTTTTATGTGTTATGATGTCAATCCTTTATTATATTCAAATACTTAATTAGTTCGCAACATGTCATTAAAGCGGGAGGGTCATCACCTGCGCATGCGCGGGATTTGAGTCCCGAGCGACGATAACAACACACGCTAAAAATGCAAAGGCTCACTGGTAGTGTTTGTAAACAATGACACTCTATGGCCATCTGACGCATGCGCAGGTGACGATTCCCCGCTTTAACATCTAAAGACACCAGATTGCGGGGGTGAAAAAATGTATGAACTCTCATATGACCTGTAACTACAAACTGGAAATCAAGACACGTGTCAAAGGACCTTGAACGGTGGCAGTGTTTCGAATCAAAGCATTTTTCACATGTAACTTAAACAATTATGAAAACTGATATTGAAAAATAATTCAGGTTTTTGCGAGATACCGTTCTTAAACGACGATGAACACTAATATATGTTACGTTTTCAAGTAACTGGTAACTTGTGTCGTGCGCCCGCTCATTCAACGATTGGATTATTCTATCGGGATTATGTGGACAGGTGATACAAAAGTTAAAGGTGAAATATGAACCAAGAACTTAATTAGTTTAAAACAAATAAACAAACACTTCTTAATGTGATTGTTATTAGTCTTTACTTAGCTATCTATTATGTCTTTTTTTAAATATTATACACAAACGTACCTTATTAATGTTTATATTTAGTAATAAATATTCACTTGAATATGTGAGTTGTTTATTGTATTTTATTGTGTGTTGTGATGATAAACATTTTTTCAATACATATTTCTGGTGGAAACATTTTCCAAAAGAAACCACTTTCCAATGTGCTGTGATGGTGAACACTTCATTAAAACATGTCCCGGTTGAGACAATATTCCACTTATATTTACAGTGTAGTCACCAGCACATTCATTGTATCTGACTTAGGAATCTGTGCGCAACTGATAACCATCATGCATCTTTTAATAGCCTCACTCCCATTTTCATGAAACTGAGATATATTTAATTATATACAGAACTCTGGTGATAATTAAAGAGAAATAGTCCCTGGTAGAATAAAACACGAACAAATTTGCGTTTTGATGCGTATCTGTTATATTGAGTTAGGTGGGTTAATTGCTTGTAAGTTGAAGGTTATATTTAGACAAATGATTTTGTTATTAGATCAGTCTGACAGTGTGTTATGTGTACACGACAATGCTGCGGTGACAGATGGTGACAGTTAGATTCCAATACTCTATCTCTGTGTAGTTCGATTGTATGACCAGTATTATTGAAGATGTGCCCAACTATTTGGGAATTCTACTGCAGACATTTTTGTCTTACCACCAACAGCGCCCTTAGAAGCTTTTATATTGCGTTTTTTACATGCGTTTTATAGTTGCCGTGATAATCACGGGTTCATCTATGACTGTGATTGTGACTAGTCAATCGTTCATCAATACATGACATCTGAAACTGAAATTGCACTACAGATTGCGGTTGGATGGCGGTTGGTGGTCTTCAACTGTCAATCGCCCGCCGAACATTGTCGCCGGGAATATCGAATGCACCATCACTCCGACTGATGTTCATTGTCGGCCGCGAGCAATTTTACTGACGAATATTATTTATCTTTTATCAAATAATTCTTTATCATGAGTTACTATGGAACAAAAACAACAAAACGTTAAAACGTTTTTTTTTCATGTTTTCTTCCAAAATATATTTCGTTGACAACGTGTGTCTAGACCACTAATTATTACCGTTCAGCTTCAGTCTCTCTGCTCGGTAATTTTAGCATCGCTATGTGCTTATAAGTAG